TGATCTATGACTCTGACCTGACTTGAGAAGCTGCCCTGGACGAAGTTAGTTTCCATTGGGTCATCAAGCTCAGAGCTTTTGGCTTGTAATTTCTATCACACCAACCAGCATCACCAATTGAAGAAGGATTAGCATTACAGTCCACGATGTCTAGAAGACCCTAGCTTGAAAAACCCTTGTTCTGCTCTGTTTTATTCCATTGCTAGAGATTCTATTTCCTCCTCTGCTTGCTGGGTTCTGTGTTTGTAAAGCAGGATCCATCACTGAACCCGATGAAAAAACTGCCTTAGGCCAAGTGTGTTGGGAATATTAAAATAAGCCCAATGGCTTTGTTATATTTTTTCAAGAATGCAAAGCAAGGAGCTGCTTATGAGGTTTTCAGCCTCTTAGCCACAATAACCATAATAGTTTTGGGCACAGGCATCTTGTAGAAGCCACCGTAATATCATGCACCATGGTGTCATCACATGATGACGAAAATGTTATGCTTTGTGGCATTTGCATGATGAGATCCTGATAGATATGATGTCACTTGCCCTCCCTTGTCCCCGCAAAGACACCCATGTTTTGGGGAACTACGCATCTTAACACTCATGCTGCTTTATCTCAGGCAAGCTATATCATGGGTTGTTTTTACGTTCTGGAGTACTCAGGGGAAACTAAAACTACTCCTCAATGGGTCAAAATAAACCACAGCATCATTAAAAGTAAGAAGAGAAAGAGATCCCCTCTCTCTCCAAAAAAACTTCTTCAAAATCCAGGCGAAAACAGAAAATCTGCTCCAGCCCAGGTGAAAAGATATGATAGGGGATATGCCCCATTCCCTGCAGCCTTGACCTCCTCCCCAGATAAATTAAATGCAACAGCTGAAACATTTCCATCCCATTTCATTGCCGTAGCGAGACGATTCAGTCATTCTCCATTCTTGAAGAACAAAGGAGCTAGTCAGCTCTCATCTACATTTTAGCAGGGAAATTCTGCAAGGCCAAGAGGATGAAGAAAAGGAGAAGAGTATCTTATAAGGGAAGAGGGACAGACTGCATGCAAATGTTCTCTGTGGAATAGCCAGAGCGGGTCTATATGTGATGATGGCTCCAGCTTGAGGCAGCTTTAAGAGGATTTGGCAAATTCAAGGGACCAAAAAAAAGGGCTGGGCATGGCTAATGCATGCCATTTTATGCCTGAGATAGGCAAAATGGAGATTCTCCCATACCATATGAAAAACAGGGCCTTCTTGAGAGATGCGGGACCACAGTGTTCATTTGTGTATCCCATCTCCTTCCTCCTCTATATCCCATGTTGATATTTCCAGAATTGTGTGAAGCCCAAAATATGTGCTCAACTGATCTTTCCTCTTGAGCATGAGTTGGCCTGGATGGGCTATAGTTTTCCACTTTTTCCTAATAACCCCATGAAGCAGTTTGAGCCAAGAGACAGGCTCAGAGATCACCAGTTTGAGTCCCAGAGCAGGGGGAGGAACCAACTCACCACACCAACTCCATTGAAATAACTCAAGATTTCATTTTAATGGCAAGCTGGAATGAAAAAAAAAGTGTATGCATCTGATTGTATTAAATACCAAGTAGTATTTAATACACTTTACACTATAATACCCATATCCCCCCACTCTGTAGGATGTGGGGGATATGGGGCCAGGACAATTTGCTTCCATTGTATCCCCACATATCCACACCCCAAAGTCCATCATAGTTGTCAATACAATGGTGGCATCTTTCACATACCGCATCTGAGACAGCTGGGGGGCACGATCCCCATTTATGGTACAATTGGTGTTTGACTACCTTCCAGTGCAATTCCTATGCTTGTCCTACTTGCTTCCTGCACCAGATCCCAGCTTCTGCTAATTCTACTGTTTGCTCAGATAGTCCTCTTCCACAGTCTTTGCAGAAAGCAAAGGCTGACCAACCTGTCCACGGCAGCTGCAATGGAGGTCTGATTCCAGCTTCTTCTACAGTTGGTATGACTTAGCTATTTCATGCTCAGCTATCCATAACAACCCACAATAAAATCAAAATGACACTCAGATCATGATGCCATCCTGCAAATTACACAATTAGGTCATTGCATCACCACCTCCAACCAAGTACCTAAGTTGTGACGTTTTGCATGATGGTGTCATGACCTGCATGTCATTGTACCTCACCCCTACCTCCATGCCCCGGGCTAAAATGACCTCATGATTGCTTTCCTACCTTCTTGGTCTGTAGCAATGGACTTGCACAAGCAATTCCAAAGTTTGGGTAGGGCACAAGAGCTCCTTTGAACACAACTGCCTTCAGTGAAGTTATACTAAGCAACGGTGAGTCATTTGCATGTTTGCATGTTTTAAAAAAGCCACTGTTGGCTTAATTGACACGCACACTTGGCATGTGGGCACCTCTGCCCTCCCACAAACGCACCCAATGCATTTTAGGCTAGACATTCTTTTCAAAAGGAACAACACCCTTGCATGGATAAAATTGGTGAGGAATCTTCCGACACCCAACCATTCCTCTGAACGTCTGCTCAAATTAAAAATTGCAGAAATGAGCTGGGTTGGGGTTTTTGTTTTTTTTTTGGATTTTTTAAAGAAAAACCTTTCCTTTACAATTTTATTTACAAAATGTATTAAAACTCTTTGTACAATGCCTCATTCAAATGAGGCTCAGGAATTGATGCCCACGCATGCAGTTTACACTTGACAGCCATGAGTTCATTTGGCAAGTTGTTGTCACGTTTTTTTTATCTTTTGTTTTCTTCTGTTCATGAAGTGCAGTTTTGACAACCGATCAAGAAACAACCTAAAATTACTTTTCGAACCAAAAAAGGCAAATAAAAGGAAAGAGAAAACCAAAACAGTTTTAAAAATGCCTCTGGAATAGTTGCTGCTGAACCTCCACAGCTTGAAATTAGTAGCAGATTTTTTAAGCAATTGATACTTTTTTTTTTTCCATTTTTAAATTAACATGCACATTTTTAAAAAATTACAACCCATTTACCAAACTGATCACGAGCATGAAGCCTTCCCTCTGAAAAAGTTATTTTCATTTGATAAACATACATTTCTTTTTATACAGCTTCTAAGAAAATGACTTTTTTCCCCCCTTTTTTGTTTTTTTTTTTTTTTTTACTTAAATACAACATGTTTTTGCACAGCATTGCATTTCCTTTTGCTGGAACATTATAGCATTCAGAAATTTAAAATCACAGTTTCAGGAAAAAGAGCAGTTTCTTTTTGCTTAACATCTCTGTAAAAACGTGAGTGCCAGCTTGTTCTACCGGAAAAATGTTTCTCGAGATTTTTTTTTTCCATGTTACATTTTTGTGAAAATGAAATGTGTGTTTCCCCCATTTTCTTTACTTCTATAGGCTAACCTTTGCCTTATAATGAACTATCAAATATATCATTAGTGATCTTTTCTCCCCTTTGAATAAGCTATCAAATATATTTCCAGTGACTTATTTCAAATGTTTTCTTTTTTTTTTAATTTTAAAGAAAATATATATATCTATATCTATGTCTTATCATCATTTTTAAATTTATTTAATATCCAGTATGTAATTAATGAAATGAAATGCTGCAGAACTATCACACTGCACATAGTGTCGTATTAGAGGTAATTAGTACGCAGATTTTTTTTTTAAACTTATTTGTGGTTTATCTATTCAGTAGATGGATGACAAAGTGGAAGGAGGTGGCTTCATTATGCCATTTGAGATCATACTGATTCATTTTCCACATTCTGCCTACGCTAGTTTGCTTGCCATTTTCCAAGATCTTCATACCCAACTCTGAAAACCTTCAAGCTATTTAAATTAGCATCACCGGTGATTAAACCTGGAATTTTCTATCCTCCCGCCCTACTGCTGAGCCCTCCAATGTAAGTTGATTTTGGACAGATTCACATTCTGAACACTTGCTACGTCTGAAAAACTGTAAGGCAGTAACACTAACTCACTATCTTGAGTGTTGAATTCTGGAATGCATTATATTCTTTATAAAACTCAAGATGACTTAAAAAAAAATAGCTGTGGGAAGCAACTGAGAATAATTACAATAAAGAACAGAAACTGGTCCCCTTTAAAGTACCATTCTGTCTTTTTCTTTTCTTTTTCTTTTTTCATAAAGCAAGGCTGAGCCACAAAGCTTCATTTGAGCACAGTGCTAGAGCTAACCTGTATAAATCACAAAGGTGAAAAAAGACAGAGCAGGGTTTCTAAAACTGCACGAGGAGGGCCAAATCGTTCTCTCCAGCCTGTGGTTTCAATATTCAATGATCTCAAGTTTCACTTTGTTTTTAATGTAAGTGCATTTCTAAGGGGACAGAGAGCAGGGAACGAAATTTGGGTTGCCTTCCTCTCAAAGCTCTACTGGATCGATTTACTATTATTCAAGAAAGCACTTGTAGGTGATCAATAAAATGGCTGGAACACCTGCCTGCCTTGTCTCTCTCCAAAGTGATTTTTTTATAGAACAGTTG